TACTACAATAGTTTATCATCAGCAAACAGTAGCTCTGAAGATGGCTCTTCCCCCAATAATAAGAGGCCAGGAAGTTTCTGATGCTTAGAGCTAAGTAGTTGCTTTCATGAGAGGAGTGAGGGACAGAGAAGAATATATTTCCTTCCTTCCCAGAAAGTGGAGATGCTCTGCATGATGTTTTCTTCTCTGTGAGTCAGCCATTTGAATCTTGACCAAGTTGGCATAACTACGCAATGATAAACAAGACAGCGTCTAACAAATGTTGCCTAGAAGCTGATTATTCCCATGTAGTAGAGTGAAAATAAATCCCTATCTCTCACCCTGCACCAAAAAAAAATGATATGAATGAAATATCTTGCTGTAAGATCACAATTTTGAAGCTACTAAAGGAAAACCCTTCACGGGCATAGGCAAGGATTTCCTGGAAAAAGCTTCGATACTACAGGCCATATCAAAGCAAGACAATTAAATCCTATTGTTTTTATGCTTCTGTGGAGCACATTGTTGACATGTGAGGTCCAATGTGCTTGGACATCCAGTCCCTATCTTTGTCTACCTGCGCACACAGATGTTCATCTGGGCTGGTTCCACTCCATGCCTGCAACTTTCCTTGGCTGAAGATTTTTGTCTCCCAGAAGCACCTGGGGAGACCAGACAAGGACATGACAGCCTGAAAATGCAAGACCCCTTGCTCAGACACCAAGAAGAGGTCCTTTAAAGAAACAAAATGTGACAATCACATGCTCTCTATTCTCATCTTAGTGTTCTTCATTTGTTCAACGAGGGAGAGACTCAAGGATGAACAGAGTTTGAACCTGAGTTCCCTCCCAAATCACTAGACCAAAATATTGTACCCAAGCCAAAGTAGGGACATAAAGTCTGACATTTCCATTCTTAGGACTGGCTGCCCAATGCACAGTGAAGAAGACACTCTGGGCATTGCTGTCTTCAGTTCAAGATACCAGGACATAGACTGGGGTCAACAGGAGGCTGAATATGTCATGGTGCAGTCATGTCTTCAGGTACAGATAGCTGCTGCTGTGTCTAGTCAATCATGTGCCCCACAACAATCACATGGAGCCCCACACATGACCTCGACTTTCCTCACATCTTTGCCTTGACTTTCCATATGGCCATAAAGTGATCCTCAGACTGAATAGGCCAGTAGGAAAGGAATGAGATAATGTTTATGTTCGAACTCCCAGCTCAGCACATGCTTTGTTGCCCAGTCTGAAGATTGTTGGAAAATAAGAGATAAATGACACCTGGTAGGGTAAGGAACACATAACAACCCCTCGTGGTAAGGAGAAGGACACCTCTACCAGATGCCTCAGAGAGCTTTCCCACCTCTCTGTGGTGTGGTGTGGACAAGATCCCCACCAGGACAAACTTCATACTGCCATGCTAAGGAGCATTCGGTTGGTAAGAAGGAGGTATACTCAGGAGCAACTTCCACGAGGGAGAGGAAGTGATTGATCTCTGTATCTCGCTCTAAGTGAGACTCATGAAAGAAGGGAAAGGAAAAGGAAAAAGAGAAAGCATTTCTGGATTCTCACCAACAGAAGGATTGAACTGAAGGGGTTTCTTCTCTAAGTCAAGTTAATGCAAAATAACAAACTTCTCCATTGTCACTCTAGCTCTGGTGTGTAGGCTGCTGCAGTCTCTCAGCCTGCCTCCCTGGCATGTGTGGGTGCTGACAATAGGTCAGGCAGGTGGCAACATGTTGTAATGAGGAGCAGGCTGCATCCTGCCTCCCTGCTAGCTTATACGCAAAATAATTACACAGAAACTATTCATTTAAACACTGCCTGGCCCATTAGTTCTAGCCTCTTATTGGCTAACTCTCACATCTTGATTCAACCCATTTCTAATAATCTGTATGTCACCACGAGGTTGTGGCTTACCGGGAAAGATTCAGCGTGTTCAACCTGGCATCTGACTCCATGGCGGCTCTCTCTAACCCTGCTTTTTTCCTCCCAGAATTCAGTTCTGTCTACCCCGTCTACCTATGCTCTGACCTATCAGGCCAAGCAGTTTCTTTATTAATTAACTAATAAAAGCAACACATAGATAGAAGAACCTCCTACACCAGCGACACATCACAGCTAGTTGCCATGCCAGCATCATGCGGCAGATACAATTTTGTGAGTGTGTAGAGGGAACCCCTAAGTCTCAGAAAGGTGAAGTACATGAACGAAGGTCATGAGGTCTGCAGTTAAAATGTGCAGACTTAAGTATTAGTGGCTCTGATCCCACCCCATGACACTTGGCTCTGAATTCTGTCTTCTCCACATGTGTCCATGTATATGAGTGTATGCATGAAATATAGCTACATCATCAGAGAAACACTTTTGGAATGTCCCCAAAGGAAAGGAATCTGTAACCACCCAAGTTGTATGGTGGTGCCAGCTGGACAAAGAGGCCCTGGAGATAGGAAAGATGGAGATCTGAGGAAGGAACAGTGACCCCAGTTGCTTAAGAAACATATCAGACAATCAGGACCTGTGAGTAAGCCTGTTTTTCCTCAGATTCCAGAGCCAAGCTCAGAGACCTGAATTTGGAAAACAGTTCTTGGAGGAGAAGGCTAGCTCTCCCAGGAAGGCTATCCCACCCGGGAAGCTCTGGAGCATAGGGAACTGTCCAGAACCACAAAATAATACAAACCCCTGGTTTCTAGGTGGGTGGAGTTCTAGGTAGCAGGGGTACTTCATGTCTCTCCAGAGATGTGTGTGTGTGTGTGTGTGTGTGTGTGTGTGTGTGTATGCATGTGTGAATCGGAGGTATACTAGAATAAATGGTGAATGCTTGTGAAAACCTATGTTCCTACTATGCAGTTATTCTAAACTATGGCTGGATGGAGTCAGCGCACTGGCACATTCCTCTTGCTCTTCAGACACCCTATCCACTGGCTCTTGCAGCCAGGAGTTCTCAGAACCTTCAGCCCAGTCTTTGTTCTTTGTCTCTTTTTCCTTGTGAAGCACTGACTGACTGTGCACACAGAAGTCTTAACTGATACATATTTCCCAGGTATTATATTTCATAACCAGTCTGCATTTGTGGAATTCCAGTTCACGGGAGGACTGACTGTAGGCCAGCGCTAATCACCGTCTTACACAGCTATGATTCTCATCGATTTCATCTATTAAACCCATGGACCATGAGCAGTTCTTCCCAGAGAGATCCCTCATCTGGCGTTGGATGACGATACAGATGGAGGCCCGCGTTGGAGCACCGAACTGAGCCCCCCAAGATCCAAACGAGGAGCAGAAGGAGGAAGAAAATGACGAAGGACTGCGAGGGATACTATCACCCACTGATACAAGGGGTCGGATCTAATGAGAGTTTACCAAGGCCAGATGGACCGTGACTGAACGAGCATGTGATCCAACCAGATTCTCTGAATGTGGCCGGATTTTCTGAATGTGGCTGGCCTGCAGTCTTTCCGAGAAGCCATTGACAATGACACTGGGACTTGTTTCCTCTGCATATACTGGATTTTTGGGATCCAGTCTGGTTGGATGCTCACCTTCCTGGACCTGGAGTGAGGGGGGAGGAACTTGGACTTCCCACAGGGCAGGAGACCCTGACTGCCCTTGGGGACAAAGAGGGAGGAGGAGAGGGAGGGGGGAGTGGGAGGGCGTTGGGAGGAGGGGCGTAAATGGAAACTTTTTATAATTTAATAAAATTACTAAAAAAAAAAAATAAATAAACCCATGGACCAAACACCCAGTGGGTAAAGCTATGTGCAGATATTTATCCACCTAGTGTGAGCAGTCCATATGGTGAAGAGAGACGTGACAGAGCACGTTGAGAGGCCTCCTTAGTTTGGGACAAAAGTGTACAGGGGAGACTTCATTTTCATGAGCACACACACATACATACACGCTTACAGCTATGCACACATTCATGTGCACCCCCTACAACTCTCACTTGGAACTTTCTTTCAATTATCTTTTCTAACTGTCTATGCTCTGGCTCTATCATGGCTGTGCCTTTTTTTTTTTCTGTTCTCTTTTTTCTGTTCCAATCCAGGAAGAGAGACAATAGGGGAATCCCCAGCTGGCAGCATGACATGCTGCCCATCAACTTGTGACAGGCTTTATTCCGAACATTATCATAAATACCTCAAATGCCCCCGAAGTTAAAAGCACAGCAAGGACTCCCAAGTGTTCCCTACCCACCCCGCAGTCATTTCTACTTGGCCTCTGAACTCTTCCTTTGCTTACTTTTGCTGAACTGTTTGCAAGTGGTGCACATCAAATCTCTGTACTCTTACAATTCAGCTTGTACTAAATTTCTTTCTCGGTATCATTGACACATTTGTTATCACACCTAAGAATAGCACTGCGGTATCATCTCATATACAACAGCTCATTTACAAATTCCCCTAGCTCCTCCGGAAGGGCGATTTTAGAGCATCCTTTAATCCAACGTGTGAACCAGGTTCCACACTGTGCTGCCTTCTTCTCTCACTTCAGTCTCTTTTGATCTGTAGCCTCCGTCTGCCATCTTCCCTGTCACCTTCCCACTGTCAGGTTCCAAAGGATGATTGACTAACTGTGGTGCCCATGGAAATACTCCAATTGTCCCTTACCACTGGTGGCTCCTCTCAGCTCTTCTCAGCATACTTTTTTACTAAACATTTTAAATACCATATTCCTCAGATCTCTGACAAGTTTGAGAACCCTTATCTAGTAAGTGTATCTGAATTAAATAAACCTTGCATGCCTTTAGTTACTTGTTTTAGGCTTAACCTTGAAAACATACACAGGAGGATAATTAAAGTTTTCCCTATAATTACATTTGTACTTACCATGACTCTAAGTTTAATTCTGAACAAGACTTCAATTTCTAATTGAAACTAGACTGGCACGATGGACAGAGCTAGAAGGAAGGTTTAGCCAGGCTCCACTTGCCAGCTCTGTAGTTCCAAGCACTGGTTTATAGAGCCCATAGGTTGCTTAGTAAGCATAAGGAATCGACTCAACACACACAAATTCTTAGATGTGAAGACAATAAGGACAGCAACACTGTCATTTATTTTGGAGCTCTAATGCCAATCTGATCAGTCCTCTCTTGGAGAGAAAAGTTTAAACTTTATGCTTTAGCTCTAAAGAGAATATGAGACCAGGACTAGGTGCTTTGAGGCTAGTTGGTTAGATAGTTGCATGAAATAAATGCTGCTTTTATTTTCATTTCACAGATGAAAGAACATCCACGAGAGAGTCCACAACTAATACACATTCAGCCATTATTTAAATGTGGCCAGCCTGGCTGGGTGAGCATCCTCACCAGCCTCCCACTTTGTGCGTCCTCACTATCATTCACCTAGTGACTCAGGTTGAATTCCCGACAAACCATCTTCTATTTCCCTTCCAACACCCAGCACCTAACTCATCAGCAGGCTCTGCAGATTTACCACGAAGACTCATCCACTCTACATTTGTTTTCTGTCATTTGCCAACCTACTACTCTGGGTCTTGGTGAGCTAGGCTGGCTCCAGACAGACCACTTTCAACTCCTGCTGGCTTAGATAACAGGTTTATTTCCTGCTGTTACTCCATGTACACTGCATTGAAATGGGTGTTTCTGCTCCATTTTATCTGCACTCAAGAACTCACAAATGGCTTCTAGAATACGTTTTTACCATAGTAGTAGAAAGGAAACAAATTTTTCTCAACTCTTTTTCTCAATTTGGAGTGTGTGCTAATGTTAATCACATGCCTGCGTCTGAACTCGCAGGCCGGGGAGTGTGGTTCTGTCACAAGACAGACAGGTAGACAGCTTGACCTCCTGTACAGTCACTTCAGGGAGAGCTTTGTTGTGCACTGAAGCCCCACATTCTTGACATAATTTTGACTGTGGCCTTCAGTCTCTTCTTCAAATAACAGCTGGAGTGATCCTAGAAGGACAAACCACATCACTTTATTCTTGACCTTTGAACTCTCATCTATCCATCATCTTATTTAAAATAAAAGTGACAGGCTGGAGAGATGGCTCAGCCATTAAAGGCTAGGCTCACAACCAAAAATATAAAATAAAAGTGACATCTTACAATATGGTCTACAAGGCACAAAAGAAAAAAAAAAAAGAAGGGCAAACAACAGCCCATTGGCTAAGTCTTCAGATGTGTTTAGCTAATTTATCTGGCCAAATCTGCTCCTAAGCCCACTGTTGTCAATAAAGTTTTACTGAACTATAGCACAACCCATTCAGTTACATATTGTTCCTGACCATGTGTAGCACATTTAATAAAATCCCAGAGTCAGATATTGGGGTTCAGTCTGAAGGTTAGAAGGCAAAACAGCCAGCCACCGGTTTTTACTTCTACCTCAGTCTGAAATGGTGATCCTGCCTCCAGGAACCTCAGAATGAGACTGTGTGTGAGAGCTGTCTCCTTCCATCTTATATTCCTCTCTAATGCTGGGATTAAAGGTATGACCCACTATTGTCAGGTTTCTATGGCAAACAAGTGTGGCTACTGCGATTTAAGGTGTGTGTCACCACTGCCTGGTCTGTAAGACTGATCAGTGCATTTGTTTTATTTTCTGAACTTCAAGCAAGCTTTATTTGTTAAAATACAAGTGAAATGTTACTATATTTTCTCTTTTTGTCTAATATAAAAAGGGAAGGCTATAACTAATATAAGAAAAATTATATACAGTAAGTATAATGATTATATACAGTAGATACAGGCAATAATTGCATCAACAATGTATTTGCATTTGACAAGTTCAGAGAAAATACTCCATATTTTGATGAGTTCAAAGTTTTGTACCTAATTTGCTTTCTATCATAATTTGCTTTCTACATCTGAAAAACTATAACTATCTAATCTTTAACTCCCTCAGAGACCCAAGAAAGAAATAATATTAACTAAGTAAGCAGGAACTGTGAGCAAGTGACTTCCAAAAAATGTGAGAAATGACTGAAACAGCTGACTGCCTGGACTACCACCCAAAGTTCCTCAGTAATGCTGGGGCATCTATCTTCAGCCTACAGACCTAGAATATGTAATAGACTTTTTTGTGAAGTAGGATATTCTGAAGGGCTGTCCCTCCTTGTCTTGACAGTGTTCAGCAGTTACTTTCTTTTGTGTCCCGCTTGTCCAATTAGGACAGCATACTGCCAGCAGTCAAGGCAAGGGCATTTTCCCCCAGTGGTTTACTTTTGCCATAAAGAAATTAAACTCTATGTGGAGTTTCTTTGATGCTCATTATCTTTTCTGAAGTAGTTTGGTGCTGCCAGGAGCAGACATGTCACTCCATCATAAAAAAGAACCTAGGTTATTAAAACATCTTAAATGCCATATTCTGTAGATCTCTGAAGTATTTGAAGATGACCTGCATATCCAAAATATATCTTTTTTGTTCTTGAAAATATACGTAATGTGACAACAAATTCAATTATAATAAATGACTAATTACTAATCCCGTATTTCATTATTATCCAAAACAGTTGGTAATAATAATTTAAAGGACTAGAAATTTGCATTACATTGTTAAAAGAGTTGTTTAGTTACAATATATTGAACAACAGTAGAAATATATATATATATATGGTATGTTCTAACAAAATTAATCTCAAATTTGTATCAATATACAAAATATGTTTACAATATATAAAGTCTAATACAATGTAAAACATTTAAAACTAATAGTTTCTTTTTAAAAGTAGATTCAATAATCTACCTTTTTATCTTAGTATATCTATATCCTCCCATTTTTCTTTGCAGAGTAGATTTAATAATCTAACCTTTTGTTCTATATTATCATTTTTCAAAACAAAACCTTGAATTTAATTTTCTTTATTTAGCTTTTATTACCATTGCCAACAATAATTTGCAACTAGCCCCCTCAACAATGACAAATATTCATAATCCACTGGACAACCAAAAACTACCCACCTCACCTCTTGGAAATGTGGGCTTCATATTTTTAAGTTTATTTCCTGCAGTCTGCTGTCAGTATCTTTAGGGGATCCTGAAAAGAAAACTCTGGGTTAATTGTCAAGTCCTGGAGAGGTAGCTTTATCATTTTTGTCCAGTCTGTGCCTAGTGGGAAAGTGCAGGACTTGTCTCAATCCTGGCTAGAGTAGTCTGTGAGGCTGACTCACCTCAACTAGCCACTTAGAAATTGTTCTGAGCAGTTTATAGTCTAAAGCCAATCCTTAAGTGATGCTATCAGCTGAATGGCATCATATGAACTAGAGATATAGTTGTTGTGGGGCCCCATCTTCTTCCCCGAGACTTCAGAGATTACTGTAGGAAAATTTATTATTCACTGTGGAAAACTTAAACATTATTCATATCAAAATGGGAAGTTTGAATTTTGATAGATATGTATTCAAAGAAATGTACCATAGAGACAAAAATAGATATGGGAAGAAGCAGAATTTTTAATAGCAGAGTTTTGATAACCTTAGTACCTAGATTTTTATTTTCCCACACCAGGTGACTCTCCTGATAAGAGAGAGAAACTCTGAGGGTTTTTTTTTTTTTGACAACAAGCTTGGTGTAGAGGAGAGCCACAGGCCAACTCCAAAGCCAGCTTTGATTTTTAACATTTTAAGTGTGTCAGGACAACAATTATATTGTGAAGTAAGGAGATATGTATGTTTAGAGAGTGAGATTTTACCCTGCAGCATATATTGTTATTATAAGTTAGATTTTTTTTTGGCTGGTGATTCTTTTTGAATAGTTATCTTTTCTTCTTAGGCATCTAAATGTCCAAGGTCTCTTGACTTTTTGAGGATGGGTATTTTTTATTTTTCTGTAAAGACAAGAAGTTTCTCTGGCAACCAGTGTGGCTACTGGGATTAAAGGTGTGTGTCACCACTGTCTGGTCTGGAAGGTTGATCAATGGGGCTGTTTTACTCTCTGAGCTTCAAGCAAACTTTATTTACTAAAATACAAATGAAATATCACTACAACCGTACTTTCAGTGTACAAAGGCAGAACTGAACAGATACAACAGAGATGACTGAAAAATCTACAAACTTTATCTACCACCTGCCCCTTTATAGAGACAACTGACCAACTCTTGCCTAGATGACTTGAGCCCAGTTTTCCCTTGGACCTCATCTTCTTTCCACTGCTCAGATTTCACCTTCCTTCTCCCTTCACCCCCAACACTGCCTATTACTTTTTTCAGTGATGCTATCTCCTCAGGGGGCATTTTTCCTGTCTTCCTTGTGGTAATCTCCTCCACTTGAGGTCACATGAAAGGAATATTTATGGGTTTTTGGTCTTCTCTTAGGCCCTGATTTAGGTTTGAGAGACCTAGAGTGGTTCAAGAACCTTGGCAATTCTCTCTCATAGACTCTGCTACCTAGGTCTGTCAAGTCAAACTGACCAATCCTCTCTTGGGAAGGACAGATTAAGTTTTGACTGTGACTCTAGCGAAAACGTGAGAGTTTTCATAGTTGGTTTATGTCTGTGGATTTTAACATTTGCCTTTGAAGATCAAGGGCAATAATGTGCATGTTTGTGTGTGTGCATGTGTGTGTATGTGTATTATCACTTCCAACATATTTCAGTCGTTTCTCGGAGGCGAACTTTGAACATCTCTGCAGTACCCGAAGAGAACAATCTGCCTTGACTTTGAAGCCAAATAGGATTTCTGAAAAGAAAGTTACAGTCCATTGAGAAATCTCAATCGAGCATGAAGAGCAGTGGGCTCCCTGTGGCGGGACGGCAGCTGGGCCTGCCCAGGCTGAAGTGGCTGGTCCAACAGCCCAGGCTGCACAGGCAGTGCAGGGCATGCAGAGGCTAGGCAGGCATCGGGGCCACTGTGTGCTCAGAAAGCACAGCAGGGAAATGCATCATCCCTCCTTGCGGCTTGAACATTTTCAAATCAGTGGAGGGGAGTCTGGACAAAAAGTTAATGAGAGCACTAAGCTTAGGGAGAATGTTTAGGACTAGGCAGAACAAAACCAGAGGTAGTAGTTAAGGAGGGTTCTGTAGGGAGGGTGACCCTAGGTCCCTGACCCTGTCAACCCCTGGCTTCTTCTATCCTTCCTCACTGTGTACCAAGTGGACTGCTGCACAGCTGACTGGCTTAACCTGCCACTCCCTTCCATGGAAGCCCACTCAGGTGCTGTTCCCCGGGATCCTTCTAGGCTTTCACCATGCTCTGTCTGTTTTGCTCTGCCACAATCAGGTCCCTCTGTCCTCAGCGGATACAGTTCTGGCTCAGCGTCACCCTCCAAGCTGTTTGTAGTCTGTGGTCATGAGCGTCTCTGTTCTGTTCTCCTCTGTGGGATCACCCTGTTCTAACCCATGGGCATCTGTCTCTCAGAATCTGATGCTTTCTTAGCATCTATCTTGGGTCGTACTCTTCCCTGGTGTCTTATACTCCTGCGACCTACGAGACTGAATCCTTCCTTCCCAGGCTGGTTCCACGCCAGCTCCCCAATGATGTCCTATCTCCTCTCAGCTGTGGCAGGCATTAGCACCTCTGCCACCGAACTGCAGACATTGGTAAAGCCTGTCCCCGGACACTGAATTAGGAAAGTTTGCTCTTCCTTACTCCACTGCACATGGACAGTGTCAGCCTGGTGGGGAGGGTTGTCAACCAGCATTTGGCTGAATGCTCACTGTTGAAGGCATGACGCTGTAGTCCACACTGCTGTGTAGATGGCTAAGGACATTCCATGGGTTTTCCTACTGCCTGACTTTGCTGAAGTCGGAGTAAAATTGGCGTAGAATACCGTATGGTAGAGAGAGTTGGCTACCCGACCCAGAGAAAATTTTTGCTTTGCTATGGGCGGTGGACTGATAGGAGTTATTGGTGGGTCAGTAAGTGGGTACCAGGTGTTGGGTAGTCTCCCTGAATCCTGTGTGGGGAGCATGGAGGCTGTGCTAAGTGCTGGACTGGAGGCTGGGAAGCCGTGCCCGCTGGCAGCTTCGGGGCAACCATAGGCCATCACTGTTTGCAAAGAGGTGGGCTACAGAGAGAAGTGTGGGAAGCAGGTCTTGTTTGGGGATTCAGATGAGCAGATTTTGGAGATGCCAGTGGCATCTGCCTTTGTCCTAGAGGCTTCACCTCCTGGTCCCTCACATGACCCTTCAGGTGCGCTGGTGGCTGTCTTCTCACCTTGGGCCCCCTGTGTGCAGCCCTCAGCCGAACTGCAGCACCTATGACTGTTGACCTCTGTGTGATTGTGAAGCACATGCCTGGCCTTGTTGGGTGACAGAAATCGATCAGGCTGTTTTCTGAGGCCTGTGACTGGCTCTTGACCATGTTTGCTGTGTTCCCAGCGCACGTATGCGCCGCCCCAGACACCCGGGAGCAAGCCCTTCCATAGTCTAGCCCTCTCAGGAACCTGAAAGTAGTACCTCCAAGGCTCTGTTTGTTTCCTGGAAAGTTTCTTTGGACACTGTTCTGAGGACATGCTGAGCAGCTGGCAGCTCGCCTGGCTCCTGTTACCAGTGCAGGCTGTGGCTCTGCCAAGCACCTTACCCACTGGCGTTTAGGAAAAAAGACCCAGCAGGTTCCTGGATGCTTTCAAAGGCTGCCGCTCCCATCCACTTGCTGAACAGAACACTCCCAGCCTTGACATTCCCTTGAACTCCAGGAACACTATGCAGAAGGAAGAACAGAAATTCTATTGACATCATCAGGGGGTGAGGAGGGGCCATAGCATGAGGGAAGGGGTCAGATAAGTGGGACGGCCATGGCAACCATGTGTGGGGTGGAGCCGACCAGGGAGTGTCTGGGCCCTCTGCCCCTGCTGGTTGGACTTATAATTATCAACTTCTCCCTTTCTGGAAAGCCCAGCATCCAGGACTCTCTTCCTAGTTTGCCTCCACAGGAGACAAAAGAGTGAAAGGGCTCTGTAAGAACCAGGTACAAGTGACAAAATACCACAGCTTGGTAGAACAGCCTTTCTTCTTCTCTGTTACTGCAAAGCCCATTTGGTGTTTTTGTGATTTTTGTTGTTGTTGGTTTGGTGTGTGTGTGTGTGTGTGTGTGTGTGTGTGTGTGTGTTGGGAGGCTGGTTTTGTTGTTGCTATCATTGGTTTTTTTGTTTGTTTAAGATAGGTCTGGATAGGTATCCCAGGCTGGCCTTGAACTCACAAAGATCTTCCTGCTTCCCTCTTCTTGCCTGCTTACAAGGGTGTGCCACCACACTGGGCTTGCAAAGTTCCATTAGATCCTGTGCCTTTGGGGTGGAGTGGTGGGAGAGTGCTCGTGGTCCCTGTAGAAGTGGAGCGGAACCCAGCCCTGTTTCTCTATTCTTCCTCTCCACAGCACATGTTGTAATAGCAACTGGGGGCTGGGTGCTCCAAAAATCATCACGGTGTACATTGATGTCGACTTTGCCTCAGGTAGTGACTCCCAAGTTTTACTTTTATGGCCTTTTCTCCCTGGCCTTTCTCTGTTTCTCTTCACTTATCTCAAGAATGTTCCCTGCTTTCCAATGGCTTCTGCTATTCCTCTCCAAGAGTGTGCCTCCCACCAGGGTCTCCATTGGTAGGCACTTGCATGCCATTAGCTTCATTCTTGCCTACTGATAAAAAATAAGTAAATTAATAAAAGGACCCTACTTTTGACCAGGGTTAGACCTTACCATTCAGCCCCATTACATCAACTTCTCCCATTCTGGGAACACACTGCTCTTTTATGACTTTTTACCCTTTGCACAAGCTGTTCCCTTTCCTGAAATAGTCTCCCTTCTGATTGCCTTCAGGCAAGGGCTGGGGTGTGGGGAGGCTTGGCTTTAGCTCTCTGAAGGCCTTTGGGCTGGATCCTGCTGGCGGCCATCTTCAGACTTGCTCCTGAAGCAGAGCTCCTGGAAGACATGAGCTGTCTGCAGAATCCCACGGACCACTGGTCAATTTCATTCCGTTCTGACAACTGGAACCTATTAGCCAGATGGAAAGACAGTCTTCATTTATGCAGAGTGGTCACCTTGTGTGCACGCTAGTCTTGGCACACATATGATTATTTTTTTATAATTTATTGTTTTTAATTATACATACAATGTTTTAAAGAAAACACATTTCCCTATTTTTTTACATAATTTGTATTTTCTGTTTACTTAGTAAGTCTCTCATCTGCTTGGGTTATGATAATGTGTATGACTGTGTGTCTCTTTCCACATTTGTGATTTTTGTTTTCCTTTAAGGTGAGAATAGTGATGCTGATATCAAATTTGGGCAGATTAAAACCACTCGAAAATGTGAGCTATGGTTAGGAGATGTCGGCAACTTCTGTCCTTATTCCCATCTGTACACATCATATAGAAATCTCTGGTTGACACACTGTGGTCCAGAGCTCCTGTGGAGACGTGTCTGTTTCCATGGCAATGCTGTATTTAGGCATCCATATCCCTCCATAATGTACTTCAGTGTTTGAAGAAGTCTACTTCTGAATAGAGGATCTAGACCAGTGGTTCTCAACCTTCCTTGTGCTGTGACCATTTAATACGGTTCCTGGTGTTGTGCTGATCCTCAGCCATAAAATTATTTTCATTGCTACTTCATAACTATAATCTTGCTGCTGGTATGAATTGTAATGTAAATATCTGATATGTAGGATATCGGATATGTGACCCCCGTGAAAGGGTTGGTCGAACATCCAAGGAGTCATGAGCCATATGTTGAGAACCACTGATCTAGACAATGTTATTCCTCAAATTATCACCCTAAGAGGTGTTCAGTTGAACTTTTCCTTCCTGTGTGATAGAAAAGGTGGCATTTTCATTAGCACCATGGAAATAGACTTCTGAGACCAAGCAAATCCCGTGGGTGGGTATTATATGTGTCACTTTGACCTGCCAGGAAGGACCTGAAGGGGGAAAGTGAAGGATCCCTGTGTTCTCACAGGTCACAGGTCACAGGTCACAGGCCACAGGCCAGGGAGGAAGCACATTCTGTGCCCTATAATGTTTCTCTAATGGACTCTAACTGCTCCTACCAGGTCAAATAGCTGTTTCTTGAAGCCCCTGCAGAAAGTCCACAGCTGCAGTCATGGCGCCCTGGAGAGGGAGGAGCTGTAAGAGGTGAAGAAGCAGTAGGTGAGACCTGCAAGTAACCACGTCCACCCATTTCTGAGCCTTGCTCATTATCCGCTTCTAGCCCCACATTTTAGTCTGGCTTTGTCAAAGACCCCCCCCACCCCCATCACTAAAGGTTTGGTTTCTAACTTGTGAGACTTTGGGAAGTTGGGGACCTTTCAGAGTCAGAACCTTGTTGGAGAAGTGCTTTGAAGGGGGTATTGGAGTATAGGCCCTTGATATTTCTCTTTGCATCTTGGCTTCCATTTCCATAGGTTGAGAACTTTGGTCCTCCATGTGCCCCAGGATAAAGTCAGTGGTAGCATAGGTCCCAGAGCCTGAGTCCAGACCACATTACTCCAAAGCCCCTAAACCGGTCAGCCTGACCACCTTTTCCTCTTCCAAGCTGGCTATCTTAGTTAATTAGGTATTTTGTTGGGGGGCAGAAAGTTGATTAATGCGCATCACTAGATGTGTTCCTCTGTCCACATCTAGCAAGTGTACACAAAAATTGCCTTTTAAAATTGACAAGGAGAGTGAGCAGAATGACGTAGTGCTGTAATCTGCTGGCCTGGTCTGTCACCTGGGTACCCTGTCCCTTTAAGAGACAAGCCCCACACACTCCCACTCTCAACCTCCACTTTTGCTGAGACAAGTGAATCTCCCACCTCCTCTCCAGTGACCCCCGCCCCTGTATCTGCCCTTCTTCTGGAGAGGCAGTTTCTGCCTCTCTCTCTTCTTCTCCCTTCTTCCCTTCTCCCCTTCCCCTCCATAACCCACTAAATAAACTTTATACCCAAACTCTTTCTGAATGGTGTTTCTATGTCTGTCTCCCACCGAGGGCTCAGGTGGCCTGCCAGGGGGCCCACCAAGGCCTAGGGTGACTCACTGCTGCTCCTTGTGGGGTGGGTTCCCAACAACCTACTTATAAATGAGACCAGCCTCTGTCCCCAGCATTATAAATGACAACACACAGGGTCCCTGGGACGTCACAGGTAGATGATAACTGTGACCTCTTTTGCTCCATGGGCGAATGCCATGAGAGCAGGGGACAGGGAAACCTTGGCACAGAAGAACTTCATGATTTCCACCCTGAGTGGGGCCTGAAATTGCAGCAAAGAGAAATGATGTCAGTGGGAAGGATTGTAATGAAAACAGGAAGCCTAATAGTAGAAGAACAAGGGTTGGAGTTAGAGGGAAGGGCCACAGGCCTGGATCCCTAGTCCATGCTTGAACACTTGGCATGGTTCCCTATTGCCATCCCATCCCAGGGGCCTCCTGGTCCCCAGTGGTAACTCTATGTGTATGGGAGGGTACCTGTGGGGTGTACCATGCATCTGTGTATAGGAGGGTTATGGGGGGTACGTGTAGGGTGTACCTTGTGTTTATGTATAGGAGGGTTATGGGGGTACATGTGGGTGCACCATGTGTCTGTGTATAATAGGAAGGTTATAGGGGGTACATGTGGGGTGTACCATGTGTCTGTGTATGGGTGGGTGTGGGTGGTAAAGTAGTGCTTACTGGAAAATTCTTTTCCCAATTAGTTTTCTTCTGCTTAGCTCACTAATTAGGTAACAGCCCAGAAAATCTAATTTTAAAGTTTATCCATGGTGTGGTTGTGTTATTCTCAAATAATCTGAGCATCCCCCCATCAAAGAAGACTAATTGGATCCAGTTTGTTTGTAGTGAGACTGCTTGAAAGCAAGTGGAACCTTCTGCTTCCTGGTGTGGGTCCCGGCAAGGACAGCTGTCTCTGGTTCTGTCTTTGGAATGCTTTCTTATGGAGGGGAGGGTCACTATCAACATCTTGAAGGGCCAGGTACAACACTGCAGCTCTGGGGACACCCCAATTCTGAGGCTAACACAAGAGCCTTGCCCTCTTCCTTAAAGACACTTTGCTCTCTCTTAGGAGACAGAATCTGCCTTCCTCTTTGCTCCCCCTCCCCACCTTTCCAGTTTCCTTCTGAAGACATGGGCTAGTATCCCAGAAGGAGGAGGATGGATTTCTAATGTGAAACAGAATTTGGTGGAGCCAGGCTGGGAATGGCTTTCCTGCTTAGGTTTTCTCTCAGGCAGGGACTGGGGCCTCTTATAGGGAATCCTTTAAGAACTGTTTCATTGGTCAGCAGGACTTTCCTCAAGTTCAACATAAGCTCAGGAACATGCAGCTTAAATGGGGCTTCAGTGGGCTTGCTAGTGGAGAAGAGGGGAGGAAGCATGCTGAGCCATATCACCTGACCTAACTCCTTCTCCCACCCTTCCATTCTTCAGGGCTCTTCTCTGCTAATCTTAATCCCAGGGCCAGTGTTGCCTAAATGCCACCCTGAATGGGCAATTCCACTCGGCACCCTGGAACAGGTGCTCGAGAAACAGAGATCTGCCCTCTACCTCCTCCAGGGCCAGGAACACAGTCGTGGAGCAAATGAGTCAGGCTGAACAAGAATGAAATAAAAATTGGCCACAGCTACACCTCGGCTTCTTACTGGGAGGAAGAGAGGAAACGAGGCCTTAAGTAGATGTCTGTTCTTGGCCCCTTCC